CCACCCCCCGCCATAACCTTTCCATTTCAGCAGAGAAAAGTCGAGAAGCCTTTGCAAGAACCTTGATGGATTCGTCTGCTGGCAAAATGTTACATGCAAGATCAAATTTCCAGCCAACTTGCACCACACAAGCTTTACATGAAGAAATAAAGGAAACCGTGGGTGTGGTCAGCATTTCATTGAGCGCTTTCAGCGACCTTGACGTGAGATGATGAATTTTGTCAGAACACTGCCTTACTATCATTTCGTTCAAATAAGAGCACGAAATCAGCGTGGCTTTTTCCCGAATCTCGCTCAGCAGCACAGCGCTCTCTTTTGAAATATGAGAGGCTATTTTTCGAACATAAAATGCGTTAAAATACGAGCCACCATGCCAGAGAACATTCAGTAGCGCGGTGTTGCTACGACCGGCACCATTGCGCTCGTGAAAGTGGAACAATGCAAACAGAAGCTCTATTCGCAGCCTAGCCTCAACAATAGAAGTGTTCAATACAAAAGCATCCAGCAGTTTAAATAGGCTTTCAAAGTCGATATCTGATCTCAGAGACTCGCGGAACAAAGTGACAAATTGATCGAGCGAAAAAGAGGCCAACGAGTCGGAGAAATACAAGGTGTCTTCTTGTAAAAGCATGGAGCAGATGAGAGCAATTTCTTGCTTCCGAAATTCGATCAAAAGCCGCGAAAGTGCATCCAATTGCGTAACAAGCCATGAAGAAAACCCGGTTTTATCGTTCAATCTTGCAACCTCGTAGCCCGTCTCGATGCACGTCATGATTTTGGAAGACACCGTGGTGATACACTCGTACAACGCATTCCAGGATGTTGTTTTTACGATGCAAAAGTCGATATTGAGAAGCAATAGCGATGAGATCGATGCCGTAAAATCCGAGACGATGAAATCGGAAATGTTTGATGTTGCGATTTTGTTTCTCAGCTCATCATTTAAGGACACCATGGCGCTCGAAATACGGAACAGCATGTCATAAATTGTGTTGGGCGTCAAAATGAAGGGCGGCATTTTCGTTTGTGTCAACACAAACACATCCTTGGGAAGATAAACATCGGCAATCTTCATGTTGATAATCTCGCTACAGGGATTGTGTGCGTATAAAAACGAGTATAGGATGTTGAGATTTGATCGTGAGGCACCGGAATAGGACATCGCCCAATCCATGTAAGCCTTGCCAAGAAGGGGTGACGAAAATGAGCCGCCAAAGGAGCATAGAGGGCCGATAGCAGAGATGCTGCTGCATTTAGAAAACCTGTTGGGCTTGATTATCTTCAGCAAAGATAAAAGTATCAATGGAAGCAAGAGAGATCCGACAATATCAAATGGAATATCGACTTGCTCAATTTGGCTCAAAAGCGAAAGAAGGAAATGATGCAAGTTTGACAAATCAATTGCAGCAAATGAGCTATCGTCAATATGAGATGGCAATTTTGAGAGCAGTTCGTTCTTAAAAATGGTGAATTGCGATATTATACCGCAAAAGTAAGGTACCGATACATCAAAGACGGAGGGAACCGACTCTCCCAGCGCTGCATCGATGGAGTCAGAGAGGCCAGTAGAAATGAAAAGGACTTTTTTGACTTGTTCATCGAAAGCCTCTGGATGATTGAGAGATCCACAAACCAGTTGAAAAGTCTGCAGAACAAGCATGTCAACCTCGATGTTTAAATGCGCTTGGGCGGCAAATATAGGAGAAAGGACTGGGAACAATATGGGATCCACTACGGGAGCACAAAGCTCCGATAGCATGTGCAGAATGCCGCGGAGCATGTCCACATTTGTGCTTTTTCCGTCAATAGATAAAACGTCACAGATGAGCTCAGGAGCTTCGCCGTTGTCGATTTGCTTTAAAAAGCATGCAAACTGAGCCGAAGCAAAAAAGTCATTAAATTGCCCCAATGCTGTAAACGTTCGGGATAGACCAGACATCTCAACAAAGGTGTTTGCGCCGCTGGATAGAGAATAGACGTCAAATGCAGCCTCTAAAATGGACATCGATATGTCTCCGCAAAGTAGCTTCAAAAGCTTCAAAATGCAGGCAAGCATAAATGGAATCTGTGACTTTTGAAAAATCGCATATAGAGGGCTTGATGGCACCAAAGACCAAAGATAGTACTGTAAGTCATACAAAACTGGCCTTGGGAGAGATTCAATTGTGAGGATCAAATCAAGAACTTCGACATTTTTGTAAGCAACCGCATACAAAGCAACGGTTCCATAAAACCTGTTCAGACATCCAAAAATGTGGTTCGGTTCGCATTCCATCGTCTCGCTAGACTCGGCATTGCCACCGCAACAGAAATGTTCGGGCTTTTCATGTGCAGAGTAAATTGCAAGCAAAGCAGACGAAGATAGCATCAGCCGCCTTTCGGAATACCTATTTTGGGGGAAAACATGCTCTGGAGAAGCAAGAGGAGAATTCCACAACAACCCATTTTTTCGAGCCAGAAAAGCAGGATTGGAAAACCATTTGCGCCAAAGAGAGAAATATGCCATCGAATCGGAGCATTCCCCTTCATGTATAACAAGGTTGAAAAACCTTCCCAAACAAGGCGGGATGTGGAATGCCTTGAATTTCTCGAAAAGCATCATTCTACACGCCATTGCAGACAGATCTTGTTTCTCGCGCGAACCGCTACCTTTGAAGGATAAAAGAGACAATTTTTGCGAAAAAATGTCCCGCTCTGACGGGAAGTTGTTTCCACTCGCATAAAGCACGGTGAGAGCCTCAATAGCAAGGTGGAACTCAAATAGGATCGGGCGAACCATGGCGTTATCATCAAAAATGCACTTGATAAATTTTTGCAGAAATAAGCAAACTCCGCCATTTTCCAAGCATGCAGGCATCGATAGCGACTGCATAATTATAAGCGATGAGCAAGGAATTTCCTCCACAGCATATTTGTCTGTACATTTTGATTTGCGCAATTGCAATAGTAGCCTTTTAAAATATTCACTCCGAGAATCATCGTTTGCGTACACAGTCATCGCATGTGCATGCAGCCATTTTGCAAATCCATAAAATTCCAAATCCGATCCAAACTTGTGTCTTACACGCATCCAAAGGAATCGCATAGTGTCCAGAATTGATGGGGGAGGCAGATTTCCAACACAAATTTCCAATGCCCTATTTCTCATGGGCCTAGAAATGGACCCGGAGCCGCAAGAAGATACCCCCATAAATGCACGGAAGTTGGGATGGGGGATCATGGGATCGCCAAATCCGCTCTTTTCGTGCACAAAAAGAGACCCATTCGGCTCAAAAAGCCCATTCAGCCGATCCAAAACAGAAGAGGGGCATGCAGAGGCATTTTCAAAAAATATCCAATGTCCCTTTTCAAGAGCATCCAGGAGAACCCCATTTTTCCAATGGAACCCGGCCCCAAGTTCTTGATCGGGTTGCTGTTCAAACCCACCCAGAAAATCACTGGTTTCAGAGAGTGCAGTTAATGGAATTGAATGAAGAACCGCGCCTTTCGTGTCGGCAAAATGGTGAATGATTTCCGAAAGAGACATAGGGAAGGCAGAAGCATCTGGTGACCTTAAAAGGACAAGCCATTTTTTATGGAGCGCAATTTCAATTGCATCTCCTACACGATTTTGTAGCAACCAGCGAGCGACAAGTGGCAACCGCAATTCATTTCTCACAGAAAGAAACAGCCGGTAATTATTGCTTTCAGTTGCATCGAAAGCATCACCACAATCAAGACCGGGCATGTCGTCAAATCTTGCTCCAAAAACCAATTCTTCTGCTCGCCGCAATGTGAACTGGTTGGTAGGATTTAACGACAACAGTCTGGACACATCACGAAGGTTAAAGTCAAATTGAGGAGAAAAGGTCGCATTGAGACGCATGGCCGTTTTAACAGCATTGGTGATAACAGGCAAGCTCTGGTCCTTTTCTCCTTTCACAATAGCAACAAGGTCGGCTTCACTCAAAGGCTCCAAATATACCCTGGTAAACCGGTTGAGAAACGATTGTGGGAGCCCTTTGCGTCCTCCACCTTCTCGTCTTGAATTTTGCGTCGCAAAGATACGGACGGATGTGGAATCGATTTTCCAAGACCGATTAAGTTCGGCGACATAAATAGTTCCCCGGTGGTCTAATATAGAATTGAGGCCCTCAAGCACCTGTTGCGAGGCCAGATTTATCTCATCAAGCAAAATCCAATGACCCGCCTTGATGCCAGCCAATAATGGGCCATCCCTCCATGAAAAAAGAGACCCTGATGGCATATCAACACCAAATAGATCAGAAAGATCAGTCTGTTCTGACAGGTTGATCCTAACCAGAGATTCGTTTCCGGTTCTCTTTGCGATGGCCGAGATGAGACTGGTCTTTCCAACACCAGGATCTCCTTCCAGAAGAATCGGCCGATGAGATATTTGCATTGCTCGAAATACACGGTACGCATTTTCGATCACAGTTGGTGCGGATAATGAAAATGCACCAACATCTGGATGCGATTCAATGGCAATGTGCGTTTTTTTCGAGCGTATTGCAACATAAAATGGAGCGATCCCCCACGCTGAATGATCCTCACGCGTAGAAAATATTTTTTGTCTGTGAGGGATTTCTTCCATGGGCGAAAGCAAAGCTCCGTGTCTCGCAAGAAGTGTGCGTGCAGTTTTTCTGAACGAAGAAATGTTTTCCGGTGAAATTGCGAAAGGAAGCACTCCCCCACTATTTGCTAACATGGAAAGCCCATCGAGGAATATCATCTCGGCCCCTTGGCAATACGCCTCCCCAACGGACAGTTTACAAGAGACCAGTGATTCTGATGCGGATGACCACTTAGATGGACATAGCCCGCGTGCATTTATTTTGATGAATTCGATCCAAGTTTTCAAGTCGCGGATAGATAACGTCACAGCTGGGGTTACAAACCCAGAAAAAGAAGCAATAAGCGCCTCGTCTGTGCTGAGATCAAGAAATTGGCCATTACTGCGGTTGAGGGATGAAAGAAACCAGGAGCAAAAGGCCAAGATGCATTTTGGAATTTCTTTTACGTTACAAAGCTCACTGGAAAGGAACTCTGGTATGCTTTTCTCAGCTACATCTTCCGAACAAATCCCATGCAGCAGCAAAAGAACCTCTATACTAGAAGCTGGAGAAGGCACCCAGACCTCCGTGAACCGATTGCGAAGAGCTGGAGACAGTTCACGCTTTCCAAAATCGCCGGAAGGATTCATGGTTGCAATAAGAGCAAAATTTGGATGTGCTTGAATAACCATAGGCTCGGTGGAACTTCCTCCAAAGTTTTCCACCACCGTTAACATGCGGTTATCGCTCTCAAGCACGCTATTTAAGCGCTCAAGAACCGAATCCTCAGCAAGAGAGATTTCATCTACCAGCAAAATGTGTCCTTCTCTCATTGCTGTAACCAAAGGCCCGTCGACCCATACCCATGAAGAGGGCGATGGCATGCCACCACGATGTCGCTTGCCATTGCTATCGGAGTCGATTGATGCACAAGGCCGTTGCATGCCCAAGAAATCTCCAACATCCGTGTATTGATGGCACGCAACCGTGTGAAGAGGAAGGTTTTGCGACTCCGCTAGCCATTGAACAATAGATGTTTTCCCGGTGCCGGTTTCTCCAACTAGCAAAAGAGGTTCTCTGTTTCTTATTGCCGCGATGGCAAGAGCCCCAACGCGCTGAAAATGTCCTGTCCATACGATTCCACGGGAAAAGGACCCCAAGGCTGGTACACCTGGCCACCGTCCATAATCAGAAAAAAGCCAATCACGGCTATCCACTGGTGAGGGTGATGATGATGCCATTGGGAAATTCTCGATAAGAAGATCTTGCAACGCACGACGCTCCACCTCTGTCCTAAGACGCTCCCCTAACAACGACCATCCAGCCTGGGCAGCGAGAAGCCATGCACCGCGAGAGGCATCAGCATCAGATAATTGTTTGATGCGAAATGCCCACCGAAACATATCTCGAAGGGTGATAAGTGAGTTGCTATCAAGAATGGATCCGGCTCTTCTTCTTTTTCTTATCTCCATGAACACAGATGCCATTTTTGCAGAGATGGCTGGTGCTAACCAAGAAGATTGAGAACCCCCAGAGCGACCGCGGATGATATCATCCACTGCTGGGTCCTCCTCCACCTGAAGGATGATCCATCTGGATTTAAATGCTTCGGAGAGAACATGTCGACCTCCATATCCCCTTCCATGGGGATTGAGGGTGGCAAAGAGTCTAAATGAAGGATGTGGTCGAATGGTTTCCCCAGTTTCTGGAATGTAAAGTTCTCTGTTGTCATCTAAAAGGCGATTGAGGGATTCAAGTACCTCTGTAGGTGCCAAGTTTAGCTCATCCAAAAGAAGCCACGAGCCAGTAAGCATGGCCCGGACCAGCGCCCCATAAGCGAATCGAATATGAATTGGATTTGAGGCTGAGGAGCTTTCCGTTTTAGGCACACAAGAACCAGAAGAAGATGCTTGAGAAGAGGACAACTGGCCGAGATCAGAAGAATGAAAGCCATCAGTACACTCTGAGATCATAGGAGTCATCTTGGCCTCATCATCTACATGAGAAAATCCCCAAGCGCCAAGGTACTCGCTGACGTCTGTGTGCTCGTGGTTATTGATCCGGATAAGACGATGACCCGTCCTGCGAGCAAGCTCGGCAACTGCAGTTGTTTTCCCAGCAGAAGTTGGACCCACAAGCATAAGAGCCCAAGGTCTCTTTATACTTGCAGCAAATACTCTTGCAATGGCCAGCATGCACTTATGTGCCACCTGCGTCTCTATAAAGCGGCCGGTACACGCATCAAGCTTCTCGACTTCAAGAGGGCCTTTTGGGAGAAAAAGGCAATATTCACCATCATCGGTTCCGGTTATCGACACCATCGATCCAGATTCGACATGGCAAGACTTGCGTGTGGAAACTGCTGATTGAGAAAGCAAAAAAGTAATCTGCGGATCGATAAGCTGGGAAATTATCGTGCAAAGAAGAAATTTGACAGAAGAAGAATCCAATTGCCCTCCGACAACAACCATGATGGCCTGCTTCAATGCCCAAAGCACTGACCCCGATTGCGGAGGTGACATGAATTGTTGCCAAGCATCTACCAATCGACAAAGGGAACGAATGGTCCAAGAAGGCTCTTCCGGCCCGCATAGCTCACGGTCTGCCAGTCCTTTCCTAATGCGATAATAAACGGAAACGAAAAACGGGCCAAGTTCAAAGCCCGGAAAAGGCACAAAAGAAGTTGGCATCGATGCTTTAAGTCGAGAGTCAACAAGCAGCCTTACGTCTTCAGGGAATCTTTCAATCGGATCGATGGTAATTTCCGTAAATTTCGCACGAAGAGATTCTGGCAAGGCGCGCCTTGTTGACTCTGAAAGCACGCCGTTCATGCAAGCAAAAAGTCGAAATGATGGATGGCGGAAGACAGGCCGTTCGTCACCGCGCTCAAATACTCTAACGGGATGACCAGCCACCAAAGATTCGAGAAGAAGAAGCAGCGAAGGTGGGGCAAGATTGATTTCGTCTAGCAAAAGCCATGCTCCCGTTTGAAGCGCCTTCAAGATCACGCCCTCTGCAAACACAAAGGTTGCAGAGCAGGGTGACCCTGAAAAGCGGAGCGCCATGGCTATCAATTCATTCCACCGATCACAAACTTCCGCCGAAATTGGCGATATTTTCTCGTGTGAAGTTTCGTGCCCCATTTTAGAGAGGATCAATTTACTGATCGTTGCAATTTGAGTCCAAAAAGATGATATGGATTTGGGATCTGTATGACAGCAAGAGGCCCATCTTATAAGTTTGGAGAACAGGGTACCGTTGGCCTCCCGTTTGTGTCCCGATGCCTCAAAAAGGAACCCAAATTCATCCATGGCTCGCTTCATGATTTCGGTGGTTGATGATTGTTGAGACCAAGATCCAAAGAGATCAGAGTGTTCCGTCTGCGCATGTAAATTGACCACAAAGAGGCCACCCGGAGGTTTCTCCAACTCTGAAAGATATTGAACAATTGTTGTCTTCCCGGTCCCGGTGGGGCCAACCAAGAGCATCGGCTCATTGCTTGATACCCCTCTATATAGCGCATTCAACAGCATTTTTGTCTGCTTCATCATTGCAATGTTACCTTGTGTGCTTTGATGATTTTCCAGGCCTTTGAGTGAATAACTGTCGCGATTGCTACCTAACTCAGACTCGAGAATCACCTTGAGATCACATTCCTGGGAGAGTCCCAAAATCCTTGCAATGGCCATTTGAAGGGAATATCTTTCATCGTAATTTGTAACGGATAGGGCGAATAGATCGATAGAAATTTCAAGTATTTTTTGGCGGAGATCAAGCGAAAGGCCATGCTCCTCATTTCCATTTCCTGCCACCAAATGAGGCAGAAGACGGTTAATGGCTTTCACTAAATCGGACATAGAAGAGACGCGTTCCTTGTTTAGGGAAGCTGCCGTGTAAACAAACTCTGATATTTGCTTGCATTGCCCAGAGGTCAAGTTAGTGCTATTCGGAATTGATAGCAGCATGTACGACATGATGGAAATTGTCTCAGATGCTGTTCGCGGCGGCAAAGAAACGAGGCAATTTAGTCCCGGATACAGGATGTGGCCATCTGTTTGGGTAATGAACAGCCGAAACGAAGAATGCGCTACAATCCGCTCTGACCTACTTGGAATAACAAGAATTCTCTCTTGTAATAGCGTGGCAAGCATAGCAATGATTTCTGTTGATGACTGATGAGAAATATCCTTAAACAGGACCCAATGTCCTTCCTCCACTGCAAGTGTAAGAAGACCTCTTTTCCAAATAAAAGAGTTATTTGGGCCTGTTATAAATGTCCCCAAAAGCAGCTTGAGGTCTCCAGCATCGCCAGAAACTCCAAGCACAGTCAATGTAGCATCATATTCAGTCGCTAGCCTCTGAATAAGATGCGTTTTTCCGCACCCAATAGGGCCTTGAACTATGACTGGAACCTGAATCTGTATGCTTTCCCTGATTGTGATCGAGGCTTCTACATCCCGTTCACTGGAGTGGACTTTGGGATATGAAGGGAGCATTACTTGAAAAATAAATTTAAATTTTACATCGGGCCTTTACCGGCAACACGGCTCCCAAATAAAGTTAAAATTTATTAGGGTTATGGTTAGGATTTATGGGGTGCATTCCTCTAGTCAATCCCGATTGATTACCTTAATTTAGCGGATCAATTTGTAGACATCTCTGTCGCGGATACTACACTGGAAATGCGTCTTTTAGTGATCTAGTCGTAAATACGGATGTTACAAAAAACCTCCACTCGAACGCTCTCTGTATCCAGAGAAGTTACCGAATCTACAATGGTGCTTGCTATTTTCTCGAGGGCTTTAAAAACAGTGCTAGAAAAATTGATGATACCCTACTTTTCAATGGCGTCTTTTTCGTCTTTGTCGACAAAAGACTTTAGCGCTGATGCCATTTCAAGCTCCGGCAAAATTTGCAGCGAATGACCCTGAAGAGCCTCCATGAGAAGAGACTCAACGTTGGCCAATTCTTGCTGATTTACAAGACATTCACTTGAATGTGCCTCAGATTGGGCGTCCTCCTCAAATTCGATGGTAGATCGTCTTTTTCCTTTTAAAAATTACATTCACAAAAACAGTACTATATGCCGAGGCAGCTGCCCTTTTGCGAAAAAATGTTACAAGATCCTTGGGATTTGCAATGACATCCACAAACTGCTGGCCAAATCTTTGTGGGTTAATGGTGGTAAACCCTCCGGAATAGTCAACCTAACCAAAGTTAAGATTTGATGGATGATCATTGCAACCTTTAGCCTGATCAGCGGCAACCTCAGTCTTTCTGGTGTTTCCTCGATACTTTTTGCCAAAGTAGCTTGTGCTATCAGAAGATTGACCTTGAAAATAATACAATACGCCAGAAAATTACCTGGTCCACAAGAGTTTTGTTAATTTTCTTAATATCCATAAGAGGAAGATTTGAAATCGAGGAAAGAGAGATTTCTTTCATCACAAATGGACGAATGTTTTTCAACTTGATCTTTTCTAGCTCAAAGCTTTTCCCCGTAATTGAAAGCAGGCCAAAAAACCTTCAATAAAAGTAGCATGAGACCTACTTTTCCTTAGACTCGCCCTCGCATAAACTGGTTGCAACAGAAGATCCCGGTTGGCAAACGTAAAATTCCTTTTGGGGATTAAGTTGTGGATCAATTAGACATTCATGTTCATGTCCCCAGAGGATAAAGTCAAACATAGGATCGAGAAACGCCTCCGGGATGTAGTTTGTTGGCCCATGCGCAGACCTACACCCATTTAAGCCAGCATTTTACCTATTTTGGTGGAAAGTCAGTAAACTAAACCAGGACTCTTCATCTTCCAATGGACGCAAGAACTTGACTTTATTTCTTTGAAAAGATCTGTAAAGCCTTTCGTCTCGAATCGATCCAATGCCATATAGAGCTAGTCGTGTATTTCCCTTGGCCAAAAGAACCGGGGAGGCAACAATGTCATCGACATCTTTGACTTTTCCAAAGTAATTAACGAGCCCTCCGACAGACAGGATATCGACAGCCGATAAATTGGAGTCCTAAGGTGGTTTTAGTTGATGTTGAATACCCCTGAGGGATCATCGTGATTTCCATGGATGATAAAAACAGGTATGGAGACATTCAAATTTTCATCGAGGTAGTTAGCATTCGGAAACCTACTGAACAAGACACAATGGCATACTTTGTATGGGGAAAATTGATGGAAGGGTCTGATAAAAACTCCAAATAAGACTCGCCGTCACCAAAGGTATATTGCCTCAATAGCTCTATGGTTTGATAGATGGCTTTTCTTGAGGGCTTGTTTTCATGGAAAAGATCTCCGCCAAGGAGGATCATATCGACCTAATAATAAAAATCGGTTTGATTCATCGTGTCAATACGTTTCTGGCCTTTGCGGTTTCAAGAATTTCCTGAAATGCCAAAAAGGAATCCTCCCCCCGTATTGGATCCTTCTCCATGTATCCCAAATGATTATCGGTTGCTGCGATCACAATGTCAATGGTAACGCTTACCTATGATAATACGGATAGTCGAGTCCATGGCTTTGAATTTTTTTAAATTTCTTCACATGCAGCAATTTTTCAAGTCAAGTTTGGGGTTTCCTCGCTTCCTTTTCAAAAAGAACTCCTTTGCATCGTACTCAGATGCACCGAACTTCACACAAGGTTCGGCTTCGATTCGTAGAAGGTCGACAAACTTTTTTTGGCCCTTTGCAGTTACAAGCCTTACAGCTGCTTGCTTGCTGGTATATTTTGTTGAAGAGAAGAAGAAGCTGGAATCCAAAAGTAAGTATCGCTTCTTTCGCTGTGTCTAGAAATGGAATTAATTAACAGTGCCACTGGGTCCATTGGAAATGCTCGGATTGGCGGCCAGCCGTTTACTCTGATTGATAAATCCGGGCAAATCGTTAACGAGTCGATTTTTCAAGACAGATTTTCTCTACTTTATTTTGGGTTTACCCATTGTCCCGACATTTGTCCCGAAGAATTGGATAAATTGACAGCAATCGTCAATGAGATGGATAAACATCCAAGCACTCGTGACCTCATTAACCCGGTTTTCGTTTCTGTGGACCCGAAACGAGATACGCCAGAAGCCATTTCTGAATATTTGAAAGATTTCCACCCAAAGATGATGGGGCTTACGGGCACTAAAGAACAGCTGCTGAAATTCGCAAAGCAATATCGTGTATATTTTAGTGTTAATCCGCTAACCGACGAAACCAAGGAAGATTATCTTGTCGACCATTCTGTGTTCTTTTACCTTGTTGGACCGGATGGTAAATTTCTAGACTTCTTTGGAAGCGACATGGAGCTATCAAAAGTTATCTCCAAGCTCAATGAAAGAATATCGCAGTTTATTTACCAATAAATTCATATATTTATGCAAAAGGGCTAAGGAAAAAGTACTTCCCCATGATACATTAGAAGCGCTTTATTAGTCAGCATATATGATGCAGTTTAAGGGCTGCCATTAACCGATTATTTGCATGGAACTCTAGATATGATGGATTTAAACACACCCATACACACTGGCCTGTTTTAGCTGGTAACATGGCATGGCATGGCATGGCATGCACCAAGTGACTTTGAATCGGATCCAACCCGAAGGGGAGATATTTTAACATCCACAGAACTACCATTGAACCTGGGCCCACACAGGACGGCTTGAAATGGCCTCCACAGGCTTGAATGTAGCCTGAAAAGGAAGCGGCTGGCCGATATTGGCCCATGGAGTGATGCTCGAGAAAAATAAATCTGGAATGGATTCACTGTACTTTTTGGAAATCTCAGAAAGATTTAATGCCGGTATCTGTCCACCTCCGTTGAGACAGGCAGATGGACATGCCATCATTTCAACGTACGAATATTTTGAGGAAGAACCTTTGATTTTTCGAATCGTGTTTTGGATATTTTTAAATCCAAAGCAAGTAGCCATCAACATGGCTGGAGATGACTTTCCCACATCTTGTACATGCCATTCGACAAAATCTTTAGAAAATTCCTTTTTTTCCACTAAATATCCTCTGGCTGAAAAATAGGACAGAATAGCGGCAAGAAATCCACCCGTTCCCCATTGATCATTAAATCCCTCTGCCTCCCCAATCACCAATGCACGACAGATGAAATCGCTGCGAGGGAGATCATCAAACCAGGCGCCATCTATTGATGATGATGAAAGGTCAAATGAATAGTCGTTGCATATATTCTCCAGCTCAACTGTGGTAATAACACAACCGATAGTTTCCCCATCCCTGAAAGATTCAAGTTTCTTATCATAACAGGGCGCAATTGATACGTGAAAAATATCTTCGACGTCTTTTAAAATTTCTCCAAGAATTTGCTGGCATGTTTTTATCCTCGATAGGAGGCTAACAATTTTTGGATGGCTTTTTTCAATATAAGAAACCACGGCTGGGCATTGAGAAACAACAACTGGGTTTTCCGAGCGAGGATACGAGATAAATTCTGCTAGGCTTAAGGAAAGCGCAATTTTCGCAGCTACTCTTTGATCAAAAACTCGAGAAACTTTTAAAATAGACTTCAAGAAAAGGCAAAGCCGAGAAGCCATTCTTTCCCATGAGGTGGAATATTTTACGGCGAGCGAGGCAATAGACTGAGGAGATATGGAGACCGCAACGGCCTTGCTTTTTAAGGCCTGTAAAAAATCGAGGCTTGTCTGCTGCCCAATTAAAGCCAACTCTGTGGATGTAACACATCCAGAACAAGCAAGGCAGTCTTTTAATGAAATCGAAACTTTTTCCGTTGTTTCTGGAGTGGATGTTCTCTTTTGGTACACCCCGACCTCTACAGCATTGTTTGTGTCCTGTGAGCCTTCGATCGGCGGAAGTATGCATGCCTGAGATGGTAAAATGTAATCATTAAGATCTGAAGCCGAAAGAAGAGAAGAAATCCCGGCCTTTTTGGACATTATTAAATTAAAGAGTAAAATTTATGTGGCAACCGCGATAAAAGAACTCAAATTTTACAGATTTATTAAATAGCTTGTCGTATTCTGTTATTGAGCGATTTAAATTTGGTTGCCGTTTCCAATTCGCCAATTCATATGATTGTTAGTGGATATGCCAAATATCTTTAAAAAACATGGATGAAGCCTGAAAAAAGGTAGTTGAAAAACTTTTTCGCACTTTTCCATTCTTTAGAGGCCGTTATAGAGCGATACAGGCGCACACAGAGATATGTAGGTAAAATTACAACGATTAAAAGGCTCCAAAACGTTGGAAAGAAGATGTAGAGATAAATGTTTAAAAATATCAATAAAGGCACGATGTAAGACTCGAATTGCTTCAAGAAAATTTTAAGTATTCTAACAATCAATTGTTCGGATGCGCCTTTAGCTTTTTCTGTAATCGATTTAGGGTAAAATTTGGCACCGGCTTCAATAACGTTTCCGGTCTTTTCCATTGTTGATTCATAAGCATTGTTTACTGTTTTAACCGCTTGATTAACTGCTGGGGTGAATACCTTTGGGAAGAATTTTTCTTTTACTTCTTTTGCTGCCTTAAGCAAGCTATCAAAAACCCCAGCCGAAGGGCCAAGTGTGGCAAATCCCAGCTTGTACCATGCCAAAATTATAGTATCACGCAGCTTATCTTTATCAGTCTTTTCGAAACTGATTAGTCCATCAATTTGTTCTGGTTCATATAGAAATAAAAAGAGCGAGCGCTTTAGCTTGTCTTTTAACTTTGTATCCTTTGACCCATTTTCATCCTTGAGATTTTTCAAGCGATCAGAAAATTTTGTTGCTAACAACGTGATATTGAAATTTTCCCAAAACTTTTCTTCAAAGGCGATTGGATCAAAATGTTGGGAAAGTAATTTGTCAGAAACTTGCATTGGCCTCAATTTGAACTTTTCTCCCAGTTTGGCATAAGCAGAAAAAAAGGCAAAATCTGATTCCTTTGGTTCAAGCAGGTAATAGTCGTCACTTTCAGCTAGGGTTTCTTTTGCATCATAAAAAGCCAAATCGTCATCACTATCATCATCATTGGTGGCATCATCGATGGGTTCGATTTTCTTGACTAAGCTCCGTTTTCTGCTAAGAACATAATCAACGTATTTATGATAAGTGGAAGCAGAATCTGGTGGTTTTTGAGCAGATTCTTGTTTCTTTTGATTAAGTTCGATCCCGACACGCAAAAAGATAAGACTCTTTTCAAGAAAAAGGAAATCAAGAAGCTTGGATACCAACATCTTTCGATCCTTATCAGCCTCAATTTTCTGCACAATTGAATGTTTTTTAAATAAACTATTTCCGTCCCGAATTGACGGAGCAAATGTGATTTTTTTGTATTTTTCCAGGCCGCCAGGAAATGAAGTAGTAGCTAATATTCCTTCGTATACATCCTTCGCATCTTTACTTTTAAACTCTTGCGTATCGGTTCGAGTGATAACCCCTGTGTTTAGCAGCAGGTCGATCTGATCTGCACATATCGTTCTGAAAGGGCTGTCTTCGTTAACAACAAGTTTTGTTAGCTTTTCATAACTTGGTGGGCATAAAAGTTTGATTGCTTGCCTATTGAATTCAGCAGCACCGTGGACTGCCGTTATGAGCGTTATAGACAAAGCAAAAGTACCAACTAGATACATAGTGGAAAAAGAATCTACTTTTTCTGGTTACAAAGTTATCATTTGACGAACCAAATATCAAATTCCAAATCGTCCAATCAGACTCGGGGATTAAAATTAGTTATGGCGTGTGGAATTGGTGTTTTGGTGCAAATTAAAATTTAACTCATTTATCAAGAGTTATTGGGGGCTGGGGGCTGCTCTTCCACGAGCTTGGCTTTCTTCTCCTCGTTGGGACCAGAGGTGTAGCTGATGATATTTTTCAGGTCGCCCTTGAAAATAGCGACAAAAATAACTGATAAAACACAGGCAGGAGACAAATACAATAGAGCTGGCTGGGCTGCTTTGAAAGTATGCATAACAACGATTGTTGTAATCAATCCCAAAACGTAGGCTACAAGGCAAGTGTTAAAGTATGGTTTCGCAAAATCATGGGACTCTGGTTTTCCAGCCTTTTCGTGATCGTAACGCAGGCAAAGGGAAATGAAGATTCCTAAAATAAATTCAAGGTCAAATGGTACCAGGAACGACGATATCACCAAGTCCCAACATAGTCCATTGACTTGAGGAGGCGAAAATATTGCGAGGAAAGCGAAGAAGTAAAGGGGCATCAAAAGACTGCGCAACGGTAACCATTACATCGGTTCCGAAAACCCAAAAAATATCATAAAGAAATAATCCCGAAAGAAGCACAGAACCGGTGATGAAAGAATCCAAATGGATCAATGAAATGGCGCCAAAGCAAATAGCCTCGCCATAGACATTGGATGCAATCCAGTTTTTATAGATGACATAATATGCAGCAAATGCGGACACTAGAATTACAGATAAAATATCGAGAATATCAAAAGACAGGGAAAAAAACACTTTCTTGCGGATTTTCAATTTGAGTGAAATTGGGCACAAAACCGAAATGGTGTCACAGTGAGGAGATGAGGCAGGGGGGGTAGCTTTACTTTGATCTTCTGAAGAGGCGGCTCTACTGTTCTCAGCATTAGATGCACTTTCAGCCGTGCTAAAATTCGAGCTGATGGGCTCTTGGGGGCTGTCAGCGGGCTCTTCGGGCTTGATGTTTAGCAATCGCTGAATAAGAGAGCGTAGTTCAGGGGTGATCAATTGAACAATGCATACACTTCCAAAAAAAGTGACATATCCAGTAATGAATATATTGATCATTTCCTTTGAGACGTATTTAACAAGCACATAGAGCAAAACCAAAACCGCAGATCCGACCAAAGGCGCAAGCCATGCATCCCTCGAAGACATGATCTCTGTTTCCTTCTTCTTTTTGGAACTAGGAATTGATCTATAAGATCCGATGACTATTGGAAGTACGGCCATCGTTATGATGGCGGTATAGGAAACGATAAGAGGATCCATTACTGAGGGAAACCAAAATATAATTTTTCAAAACAATGTAAATAACCACATCAGTTTGCTTTTCAAATTTAAAGATCAGTGTGCCTACGTAGATATTAATGTGCTGACCAACGTTTACAAAAATTAATGGTGCTGGGTTTAAAAACAGCATTATCAAATTAAGGATTTCCTATTTGACCATCAAAGTTTATAGTTTAGATACGTCGTGGGGGTCAGGGTGCAGCATAGCGGACACCTAGCCCTAGCATCAATTAAACCACAGCCAATCGCATCGATGGAAATAGTTTGGAATGTCTCGGCTTCTTTATGTGCCGCTTGGGGTTGGAGGCCGGAAAGCCTGTTCTGATTGCGTTAGCGGCCCAAATCGGCCTTTGTCCATAATGTCTACGATTTTGGGGATCGATAAAAGTCTCCCACTGTGCATTTGAAGATTGAATTTCCCTGAATGTTGTCGAGAGGTGTGGTTTAATGATGGGCTTTGAACCCACGGTTAAAGGTCACATGCACTGCGTCCCACCACCTGCATTGTCACAGAAATATCAAGCGGGCCAAAAAGGCTGTAGAAATGCGATTCTTTTATGTTAATTTTCTTCACGCGATAAAGGAATTTGTCTTTGCCCTCCTCATTTATTACAAAAAGTTAATTAATTTTCAAGTCTTTAGAAATCAAAATCAAAATGCCCATCTTAAATGGAATGTGATATACATCCTCGCCTTCGTCCGATTTTTTACAACATAGAATGTTATGATCCAAAAACTCGTGGATAATCGCTTTGAAAGATACATCGTTGGCGACCAAAAAGTTTTCCAGCGATAAGTTGAAAAATACTGAAAACGAAATCCCAGGAAACTGCAAGTAATCAGGGACCTGGCCGGCTGAAGAAGCAGCAAGCGGTGCTGGCGACGATGATACCAGTTTCAACGCAAGCCGGTTTACAGAGGGTGAATTTTCAAGATTTTTCAGCGAAAACGAATTGATTTTACAAGAAAGCGTCGCATCAACCGCTGGCCTACTTTTGGAGCAAGTCTTGGATGGCGGTGTGGTGTTGGCGTTACAATTAATTTTAAAGGCCATGTTTTCATCGTTAATGCAGGCCCATTTGTATTGAACATGAAGAAACAGGGCATAGATCTTTCTGGCATTGCTTGAGAGATTGTTCAATACCGTGATCACACTTAAATGGCTTTGTTGGTTCCCATCCAGGATTTTTTTGCCCCTATATAGAGAAAAGTCGCAGCTTTTGATTTCCTCCTGGTAGTTTAGAAACGTGGTAACGTCATAAAACAGCAATCTTGCGCATGAAATGTACGTTGGATCTACCAAAAGCGGGCCGTTGATGTGGTCTGTAGTTGCAACAAACCTAAACTGCTCAATTTGTCCAAGTGCACAATATAGAAAGCTTTTTAATTCCGCTGCTCGAATGGGCGAGGTAAAGCCAGAACCATCAATGTTTGATATGGCAAACAAAATGGGCGTCGGTCTTTCATCGATAAAGCTAAAAGAAGGGTCATTGCTTTGTTTCATCAGCTGGCTAAGCGTAGATATGATGTATTTACATTTTTCTTGGATAGAAGTTAGCCTTTTAAAGGCTTTATAAGAGCCATCAAAATGGGCAATGTACTCCTGATGCAACTTGTGAAGAATTGAATCTAGCGTGAGAGATTGGTTGCACCCGTCAATGTAGAAGACCCTATATGCTTTCAAGACAATAGGGCTTTCGCAAAACTTTTTGAGCAATACTCTTTTGGACCCATAACCATGCAGGAGGATGTTGAACCCTTTTGTGAGCTGAAAATACCAGATTGGATATAAAAATTCTTTGCTCGAAAATAAGGAGGCAATTTCTTCAGAATGAGAGTTTTCCATTGCAGCGCGACCGGCAAAGATAAAATTTATTAAGTTGACCCCCAAAATTACAAATAATTATCGACCGCTTTACATTTGATTGCATTTCATTGTATCCTGAATGCAGGATACTAGGTCCATTCCATACGAGTTCAGTCGCCGTTCATCTATTTTAAGCCAATCCATCGATTACCCATGAACGAAAACTCCGAAAGGCCTGTGAGGTTCACAGGCGTGTTTATCGACAAATCGTTGATGTTTTGATTGGTCAGAAATACTCGTGGCGGAATTTTGTCTCGAAAACAGATCTTGTAAGTAAGCGGATGTACGCAAAAACTTACCTTCTCCCTCAACTTGATTAAGGCTTCGTATATTTTTCTTTGAAAATTTTTCTTTTCCAAAGTGGTGGATTTTTGACTAGGTTTGGCCATTTCGTTTGCATTGGAAATCCGGGTTCCAGGGACTGGTTTTTTGCATGAAGGCACGGTCTTTTTTGGCCTCGCATTTTTTGCTCTTGAAGCCGTTGCAGAGCTAATGTATTCGTCCTCTTGTTCTGATTCGGCGTCTTCAGTCTCCCCATCAATGTCGGCAAAATACTTGGATCGTCTTGGATTTTTAAGCTTTTTTGTATGCGCTTTTTCTATAGACAAGGGCGGTGCCTAAAAGTTACACTGACACGATATGAACATACCGCATCGGCAGCCTTTGGAATTGAAATAGTCATTTTCTTCTGAAGAAAGCTATTACTGTTTGGGCCGGTGCATAAATATGAGTTTGCAAATCCGAAATAGTTGACCTCGCTTTTCTCTGCAAGGACACCATTGGCGACCATGGATTGAAGACAGCGTTCAATGTCGATTCGATCTCTTGATTTTCCTATTTGTCAACTTGTAGCTACCAATACCCCGCCCATATAGTGGGTTGAAGCTAGCACGAATTTGAACCATTTTTGCTGAAGATGAGCCGCGGTATATGTCAATGGACTGGTTAATGGTTATGTTCGCAGATGAAGATTTTACTAGTTGTCAGTATACACACAATGGCGGCGTACCTAAATTATACAAGTCAAGAGCGATATCCGACACATCAACAAGGGTGACCTTTTGGTTTTGCATACAAACATCACAAGACCTGTTGCAAAGAGAAGGGTTAAAGTTTTCGCCAAAATACTAGGGGAAAGATGGTGTGTGTGTGTATAATGTTACGGCAAGCAGCTGCTTTCTTCGACAATCATAGCCATTGATGCAATATTGAATAACTTGTCGAAGATTTTCGCGTTGCCTATCCTTTTGCTCAAGTCGACCTTCGCCTTTTTCAATGAGAAAGTCGATTTTAGACTTGTCCCCGTAGCTGTAGTACATGACGCAGCTTGCTTGAAGCCCATCTCTTCCCGCCCTTCCGGTTTCCTAAGAAATTAGGCCACAGCAACTGACTTGGTAATACCCTTCAAGCGATTTTGGAATGGAATAGTGTATGACAAACCTTACATCGGGCTTGTCAATGCCTACCGTTAATTTTGGGTGAAAAGCAAACCCATTCCAAAGGCAATCGTAGCCACTATGATGTCGATTCTGGAGCATGCCCAGTCTCGTTGGACTTGAATCCTGTCTATCTTGTTGAGGCCGGCGTGGTAAAATTGAGCTTTAAGCTTATACTTTGTCTACGGTCAAGAAAAAGTGCATACTGAAAGAAGATCGGCCATAGATTCGCATTCCTTTTTTGAGATGCAATAAATTATGCCAGACTGGCCATTGAAATGGGATTTGATGAATGACACAATGTCCAGCTCGACCGTATTTTTTTTGGCATACACAAAATAGCTACAGGCAAATGCATCGGTAAATGCTCAAATACCTCAAGTTGGCCCGATTAAATGACTGCGTAAATTTGAGACATCCTCTGATGTTTAAGTTGCAAATGACGTCGGCTGGGTAAAAGTGAAAAATTGGCCACTTACTTTCCACTTTTCCGGTAGCCGTTGCAGTCAATGCCATGATCGGTACATTTGGAAAGCTTTTTTTCAACATGCCTAGGCTTTTATAGTCCGGACGAAAGTCGTGACCCCATTGACTCATACAATGGGCCTCGTCAATCACAAATCTATGTTCGTAAACACGCGAGGGCCAGAGTACCTTGAAATTTTACCCTTTGAATAAAGATTTTGTAGGCAGCTTTGAAACTGGTTACTTTTCATTACCATTTCAGGGGTGATGTAGTATAGTTTACACATCGGGTCTTCCTTTATCAATTCCAGCATGACAAACTTTCTTTCCCTCTCCGACTGGCTTCCGGAAAGGTTCATGGCAAGCAGGCTCCTGTTCAATAGGTTGTGGATTTGGTCCTCAATCAAGGAAATTAACGGAGATATCACTATGGTGATTCCCAAATCAATAATTGCAGGAAGCTACACGTAAACATGCACGACACTACCTGATAGCAGATGCTTTTTCCGCCTCCGGTTGGCATCAGGACAAACACATCCTTTTTGCAGAGCGATGCATTGATTATCTCGACTTGGTTTTTTCTGAAAGACTTGATTTTAAAATAGCTAGGAAAGGAAATGTTAAAGGGCGCAAGTACTTTTTCATCGCGCGTTTTACAGCTTCCGTCCACGGAAAATCTTTTTTGGATAGATACGAAAGATCAGGAAGAAGAAATAGCTCACTTGCATGATTTGCCGACGGCGCAGTTCTACACACATTACAAAAAAAAGTACTCGTTGATCTTGACATTGGATGTGGCCTTACAATTGATAGCCTGTCTGTTAATAATCTTGGAAAGCTGGGCCTCAATAGATTTTCTAAGCAATAAGGAAACACAAAATGATGCCTTTTTTCTCTAAGACTGCTCAAGATGCTTGCAGCATCCGGATTTTCTCCAAGCTCCTCCATAAGATCGCATATTTGATTCGATATCTGGTTTTTTTCGAGGATCAGGGAATTTAGCAATTTATCCTGCATGATAAAAACCCAAATGAAAGCTACCTCATTGACGTTTATGGACTCCAAAGGAGTTGCATGATTCATGGATGCGGCTTT